ACTGTTAAAAAAACCGAAGCTATTTTTAACATAAGGCGTTGATCCAGGAGGTACTTGAGGAATTTATAGTGAACTTCCCATTTCAAATCAACTGAGGCATGTATTAGGCACCTACTATACATATAAATTGAACGGAACTGAGAATTGCTGGAATTCAGTTTTTATATACAAGCTACCCTATTGTGTAGATTCTTGGAATGTATGTGGTGTTAGATACAGTTCCAGTTTGAATAAATATTAGTTTAGAAATCAGAAATGTATTTAACTCTGTTTTATCAATGTGTGATTACAAATCACCTTACATTCTCCAAAAAGGAAGCGTAAAATGTAGGAACTGCATTAAAATAAATGCCACAATATTTTAGGGCATATTTATAAATATTTTTAATACATATAATCATTCCAAAGAACATAAAAAAATGAAAAAAAAGAACATAAAAAATGTTACATTATAATACGACAGCATATATTTAAATGTTCTACAAATACAACAAAACAATATATACACCTATACACACACACGCATACAAATTAACAGCTATTCTTGATATTCAAAGTTAATACCATGTATACAAACATGGTATCACACACAAATATCCATCTGCGCATAAAACTATGTCAATCTGATCTAGCAATTTTTGGAAAAACTTGCCACCCTTTTAAACAGACTGAATTGTCTCAGATTAGTTTAAACAAGTAAGACTCAGTCACTCCATTTCATTTGGTATATGGTTATCTTTATCTGTAACACTTTTAAAAGCAACTGATAGGATTACTTCTTTTGAATTATCCTAAAACTTATCCCTTAATTAAAAATTTCTCAAAATTCAAAGTCTTCATTTTATAAAAGCTCCTATCTTTAGTTAATGCAAGAAAAAGAGAACTTGTCTATGTTCTACTAAAACCAGAGGTACATAATTTCCTGGAACTAGAAAAATCAAGTAATCATTACCAAAATAAACTTACAGCATCAGTATATTAAAATACTCCAGAAAATAATTTTTAGAAGTGGATACTTGGTGAAAATCACCCACCAATTCTACAGTACCTTCAACTGCCTGCCTGAGTTTACCAAGAGATCCAGTCTAGTTTCCTAGTTCTATTCGGCTTGGAAACTACAAAGCCAGCCACATTTGCTTATTTGATCTTTTGTCCTTCAACACAGGGTGACATAGGGATATCTGCTGATCTTTTCCTGGAGATTCACTCATGTAAAAACCAGATCAGGTGCCGTAATTTATTATAAATGTTAAAAAAAAAAACCCACAGTGCTAAGCAGCTTTGACTTCATCTACATAAACAGTTAAAAGCTTCAACTATGAGATTTAATGTGGTTGAGCTAACACATTAGAATAAACTTCAAAAAATATCCTGTAACTGTTTTTTAACAAATGACCTCCCTGTTTTCTGTTCGTATCTTATTCCTATCTAATGATCTTCTATTCAGTTATGCATTTGAAACTTTGCTCTTTTATGATCTGATTCTGTATTCAAACTTTTGGTTCAATAGGATCATTTAAATTTATAGCAAATATTGTACCACTAACAAAATAATTATTTCTAGAGAACTCACTCTTCAACAATTAAGCACTATTAAGCAACTATTAAGCACTTCTGTTACTTAATACTATTTTTCAACAAGGCCACATTCACCAACTCTGTAAAATGGTCCTTTATGACATGGGTTAGCTACAAAGAAGTTCCCTAGATGTACGGGTAGGACTATGGCTCTAGATTATAGACCATGATGAAAAGTCCTTATTTGCCTTTAATTTCTTCAATTGTGCTTTTCCTGATGATATGTTTTATATGCTAACAATCCTTATCAAGAAAATCAAACTTATAGCTAGAAAAATGAAAAACTCTGGTTGTCCTGAAACTAAAGCTAGTCGTCAATTTTTAAATGTCTTTCCAATTGGATATTTTGGACTCAAAGCTGATTACTTCAGCCTCTATCTTCTCCTTTCTTAAAGTTGGTAGGGTACTTTTGGTTGTTTACACTCTGTGGCTACTTCCGTTCTACCTATTTTGGTCTAGTAATGGTCTCTGTATGACTCAATGGTGGCTGTGTAATGTGTATAAAAGAGAAAAAAATTGGTCAACTCTTTTTCTAAACCTCATTTTGGTTCCCTCTTTCTTCCACCAATACTGTATTACTCCAGTATTAGACAAGACAGTATTAGACATTTATTTAAGAATAAAATGTTAAAAATATAGTTTACTTTTCATTCTCTTGACTACGTACAATTAACTTTCAGACAGTGACAAAGTTTAGGAAAATATTAAGTCAGAAAGAATAAATTTTTCTCTCTGGAGAAAAGGACACTTTATCAAATCACACTACACATCCATATAAGGGTAGCTCTATTCTGTCATAAAGTAAAAAGATTTGGGGTGATCCGTGCCTTTCCAACTTTACACAGATTTTATTATTGTAAATAGTAATCATGTTTATATGTTATCACTTACATTCTCTTGTCTGAATCAAGACTTCTAGCCCCTCTCCCTTATCTCCACCAGTTTGAATTGTTTTTAATGTTTGATATTATTTTTTTCTCTTTGAAAAAAATTTTATTTTTGAGGTTGTTTTAAATTAGGGTAATGATTAGCACTTGTCAATCTGTGGATTATCTACAACATACTAGGCATTGGATTTTATGTTTTTGACTTAATTCTTATAACTTGGCAAGATGGGCATATTACCCTCCCTTTATGGATGATGAAGTTGGGGCTCAAGGATATTAAGTAACTTGCCCCAGCACACAGCTAGGAAAGGCCTCCAGCAGGAAACGTCAGAACCAGGAATTCAACCTCTTGTCCAATTCCAAAGCCTATACTCCTTGTACTCCACCATCTCTCCACAAAAATCTTGCTAATCTATTTTAGCTAGCTTAAGTGTCCTAGACTTGACAACTTTTTAAAGAGGCACTAAGGCCATTAAACTTCACCTTAGCTGGTTTGTTGTAATATACTCTTTCCATTGTTTTTTATGCCTTATTTATCAATTCTCAAGAAGCTACAGCGTTCTTTGGGAAATGACAAATTTCAAATGACAAGTAACAACTGAATTAGCTACTCATTTATGATACAAGATAAGTTTTTCATGCAGAAATCCTGACTGACAAAATTAGCTTTTCTCCTAAACAACCACTGTAGCAATCAATAAAAATAATGATACAACATCATCATCTATCATTCATGGAACACTAAATGGGTCTGACATTTTCAACTAAACTACTTAATGAACAATCCTAAATGATATCTAGAATTACTAATACAGAAAATTCTTGCTGTGTGTGGGGAATGTCTTTCTAAGGAGGAGTGTTAATTAAAACTATCCCCACAACTAATTTCCGTGTATGGGTACAACCTAAACTGATTTATTTAACAGATGGATTTTAGACATTTATTTAAGAATAAAATGTTAAAAATATAGTTTACTTTTCATTCTCTTGACTACGTACAATTAACTTTCAGACAGTGACAAAGTTTAGTCCTAACTAAAAAGTCTTAATTATTAAATTAAAAATTTAAATTAAATTTTAAATTAAAAGTCTTAAAAGTTAAATTATTCTTAAATAAATGTCTAAAATCCATCTGTTAAATAAATCAGTTTAGGTTGTACCCATACACAGAAATTAGTTGTGGGGATAGTTTTAATTAACACTCCTCCTTAGAAAGACATTCCCCACACACAGCAAGAATTTTCTGTATTAGTAATTCTAGATATCATTTAGGATTTAGTCATCACTTTTTCTGGTAATAATCAAACTAGCCTACAAAAGGGCTGATTAAATCATGATAAAGCCTCCTAGTGAAGGGGACAAAGGCAAAGTCAACAAAATAAAACAAAAATTGTAATCTCCTGTTCCTATAAACTGAGAAAATGTGAAGTAAGGTGTCAAGTATGCCAAGTGGGTCTACATCCAAGTCCTCACCTTCTTTTCCACCTCAATTTGAATAGTCAAGCAGCCTGACTCGTTTTAATCTTGCCTCCACTCTACAAATCCACATCCCTAAGATGTGCCTTCTACACTGCCCTTTTTTGTTGGGGTGGGGGAAGTGGTTTGATTAAGAATTACAATCTGTAGATACTTCTATAAATAAAGCCTTGCCATGACTGAGCAAAAGTTAAACTGAAAGTACCATTTGGCTGATAACACTAACAGGATAAGAGAAGAATAAAGGGACTTCTGTGTGCCTTTACTGCTATACCAAACATCCTGACCCTTTTTGGTTTCTTCCTTCCCCTGGACACAGTTCAGGCCTGTCGGTACTCCATGCTTGTCAACCCTAAGAGAAGTCTCAGGCTAGAACTTCTTCCCTAGAAGTCACATGTTGACAGCATGATAATCTACTCTCAGAATAGAGAATTCATTTTTCAATTACTTGCAATCTTATCACATTTATCTGAATTTTTAAAAGTATTATCACCTCAGGTATGTTACTTAAAAATGTTTCCTCTCACTAAATATTAGGGGATTATGGAGAGAAAAAAATGGGCATTCAAGTTATCAAGAGTTTAAATTTTCTAACGACTGCTTTCTAAATTCTAAGATTTAAAATATCAGTAGGAAATTCAACCCTTACAGTCACTGAGTTAATCAAAAACAAAATAAAGCAAACAAAAAACCTATACTGACATATTCTCCCACCCCATTCCAATTATAAAAAAGTATCAATTTTATTCCCTTGCCTTTGTTGGATATTAAAGTCACAAAAACATTCATTAAAAATATGTTTAAAAAATGTTTTAAAATGGTAAAACAAGTATTCTACAAAAAAGTAAGTTAATCATGGCAGTGAACAACTATCAGACAACTCTTTACAGTACAATATTAAAGTCATGAATGTCAAGGGAATCTTTCTAAAACAGAAGAAAAAAGTTTTAACTCTGCATTTTCAGAATTATAATATTTGGCAAATTCAAACACAAAAACAAACAAGGCTAATAAAAAACAAAAGACTTTTTGATAGACTCTTAAATACATACTACTTACATGACACCTTGTAGAACTTTCTGGGGATCAGGGTCAAATAGCCTGTCAACATAGTGGCGACTGCTAGCTGTTACTTCCTAGAAAGTGGGGGGAAAAATTATGACATCTGAAGCCATGCAAATCACAAATTCACAGCATCACCCACAACATCAAATAGCTATTTAATCTAATAAAATACTTACTACATTAAATCATTCTGAGAAAAGCTGTGACAAGATGAGGAAGAAAGAAAATACCTAGTTCTCACTAAAACCACAACTAGACAGTGGGAACTTTGTGGTAAGCCCTGCAAGCTTTGCAAACAGAAGAACTAGGCGTAAGTGTTAAGAAGCAAGGTAAGTTTCTTAATCAACTGATGGATGTCACCTTTGAACAACAGAAAAGAACATTGCTTCTGTTTAGTACCCACTAATGGGACAGAAAATCTGGCTCTCAGCAAGGAAGAAAGGGGAAGCACTTCATAAAAAGTTCAAGAGTGGTAGTCCACATTCAAGAGGAAGGCTTTCAGACTGATGCAGAGAAGCTACACTGATAGGAAGCAGACATAAGTAAAAAAAAAAAAAAAAACTAAAGTAAAAAAGTTGTCGCAGTTTCTGTGAGGGAAAAGTAATTAAGAATTAAGAGAGGGATTGCCTGGGTGGCTCAGCAGTTAAGGGTCTGCCTCTGGCTCAAGGTGTGATCCTGGAGTCCCGGGATCGAGTCCACATCGGGCTCCCTGCATGGAGCCTGCTTCTCCCTCTGCCTATGTCTCTGCCTCTCTGCACCCACCCCCCAGGTCTCTCATGAATAAAAAAAAAAAAAAAAAAGATTAAAAAGAATTAAAAGAGATTTAAGGGCGCCAAGATAGCTCAGTCAGTTAAGCGTCCAACTCTTGATTTTGCTCCAGGTCATGATCTCAGAATCTTGGGATGGAGCACTGCATCTCCCCTCAAATAAAGAAATAAATCTTTAAAAAAAAAGAGAGAGATTAAGTCCAACAGAGTTATTGAGTCTGAAATGCCTGAAGCTACATAGAATGGGGAGAGTTAGAACAAAAAGCAAAGGGAGACACCTCCCTTTATTTGTATTGTGGAGTTTGCTCTATTATGTTATTTCTTGTAATACTTATTTGGGCAATATTTTTTATATTTTTTCATTACTTTTTTTTAAAAGATTTTTTTAAGATTTTATTTATTTATTCATGACAGACAGAGAGAGAGAGAGAGAGTCAGAGACACAGGCAGAGGGAGAAGTAGGCTCCATGCAGGGAGCTCGATGTGGGACTCGATCCCAGGTCTCCAGGATCACAGCCCAAGTGGAAGGCGGTGCTAAACCGCTGAGCCACCGAGGCTGCCCAAAAAAGATTTTATTAAGTAATCTCTACACCCAATGTGGAGCTCAAAATCAGAGCTCTGAGATCAAGAGTCACAGGCTCTACTAACTGAATCAGCTAGGTGCCCCACTTTTTAAAACAAAGAACATATGTTTTGGAACCAGAAAAAAAGAATTTTCGTCCCTTCTGTTTCTTTTTCAAAGATTTTATTTATTATTCATGAGAGATACACAGAGAGAGGCAGACATAGGCAGAGGGAAAAATAGGCTCCCTGCAGGGAGCCTGATGCGGGACTCCAGGATCAGGCCCTGAGCTGAAAGCAGAAGCTCAACCACTGAGCCACGCAGGCTTCCCCCTTCTGTTTCTTTCTTGATGCCTGCTGAAATATGTTCATGTACTACACCCATGTGCAAATAATTAGCATCAAGCAGAAAAAATACTGTTCCAGTTTACCCAGAACCCATGATCAGAAACAGTTAATTGACAAGACACAGTGCCAGCTTATACTTCTGAGTCACCAAAAATATCTCTGGGGAAAAACTGCATAAATTCTGATTTTCTGATAATAGAATTAATTCAAAATCAAAACATTTTTCCTCTTATGAGCCTCCTACTAAAATATCCTCTAGGCAATCTGAATACCTACTTTTAGTATGTACTCTATTTATAAAGAACAGGGTCAGCAAACAAGCAAAACTGGTAGAAAGACTTGTGCCCAACAGGATACCATTAAAGTACCTGATAACAGGATTTGGTTTACTCAAAATAACAGAACCACAGAGTTAGAAGGATTCTTAAGTATTTGTCCCAATCCCTAGGGTGCCTGGGTGGCTCAGTCAGTTAAGCATCGGCCTTTGGCTGTCATGATCCCAGGGTCTAGAACCCCATGTCAGGCTCCCTGCTCAGCAGTCTGTTTCTCCCTCTCCCTCTGCCCCTCCCGCCTGCTTGTACACACGCTCGCTCTCTCTAATAAATTTTTTTTAAGGTTTATAATTTTAAAAAAAGTATTTCTCCCAATTCCTTAGTTAACAAATGAGGGATGGATCTTTTACCCTGATGTCAGACTATCAAAGTTTAAGTAGGGACACAAACAACTGTACAACTACATCAAGAAATAATATATCAAGAGCAAAAGCCAGAGTAAAACTGAAAATAGTATTCCTGTAATACAAATGGATGAATTTTGTCACTCCATTTGTACACACGTGCTCCCCTGGCTTTCCAACATATCCAGTTCCTTTAAGTACCTCAGATCTTTAGCCTCCCTTCTATATAGGAGCTGATCTTGGATTTTACTGTTCCTTTTCACATATTCTCTCACAGCTCTGCATCTCTTGCTTCTCAATGTGGTTTAGAAAAAGTACTTGGGTTTAAGATCTGTATCTTAAACAACATAAGTTTTGCCCAATAACAGCAACTCTCTTTTACTGCTCTGTACCTGGACCTGGTTCATTCAATTTTACAAGCACATGAGTATCTACTATATGCAAGGCACTGAATTCCTGCCGTCAAGAATTCATTTTCTATTGTAATTATGTTTACATGTTTATATTCCCTACTAGAATAAAAAAAGTATACACACATACAGGCAGCACTGAGGAGGGAGTTAATAAACTAGGAGGGAGAATCAGTGATGAAGACTCCTTAGAGGAGTTAGTTTTGGAAAACAAAGAGTGCACAAGACTGGACAAGGAAAGAATCAGCATCCCAACCATATGCATAGACCATGTGAAGCCAACACACACATACCAATATTAGCAAACATATACCAGTTGCTGGCGCGAGAAAGAAGGGAGGGAAGATGCCAAGAATATAAAACACAAAAGGCTAACCAATAGGTGGCCCAAAATTGGAGTACAGATTGTCTTTTGGTCAAAGTTCTATGCAAGGTGCCAAAGAAGACACAAAAGGATATTATAGCAGAACTTTGCATTTAAGGAGCTTACAATGAGTAAGGGGTCAAGTCATGTATACACACACACACACACAAAACAATCCTCTGAGATGCCTAGGTAGCAGTGGGCTGAGGATATATAGTCATGTATTCATGTATTTACTCTGCACTTTTGCCTAACATATTCACTGATTTGTCTGTATGGGATAGTTCTTGTATTTCACTGATTCCTTTTGTAGATCAGGTCACCTCTCCTTTCTCAGCCCTCTTCTCTCTTCTTTCAAAAGGCAACCTGGAAATGTAAGAATTTGAGACAAAAGGCAAATAGTATAGATATTAAACAAACTGCTCAGGGAAAGCTGCTCTAAGAAGGTGACATTTGAGCAAAGACCTGAAGAAGATGAAGGAGGAAGTCATGCAGCCACCTGGGGGCAAAACTTTTTAGGCAAAGAGAAAACCAAATGCAAAGGCTCTGAAATGGGAAGTGTCTGCTATGATCCAACAGGAGGACATTATAGTTGGTGCAGAATGAGTAAAGGAGACACAGGAGATAAGGTCAGAGAAGAGGGGCCAGATGATAAAGAGCTACACCGTCCAATATGATAGCCACTGGCTTAATGTAGCTAGTGAATATTTGAAATGTGGCTAAAAACTGTATTTAAAATTTTTGAATTTTAGTATTTTAAATTTAAAAACCAATGCTGGATTCAGTTATTAGAAAACCTTTAAGAGAGGTACTTGGTTGGCTCAGTCAGTTAAGAGTCTGCCTTTGGCTCAGGTCATGATCCCAGGGTCCTGGGATCCAGCCCCGCATTAGGCTCCCTGCTCAGCGGAGAACCTGCTTCTCCCTCTCCCTTTGCCTGCCGCTCCCGCCTTCTTGTGCTCTCTCTCTCTCTCTAATAAATAAATAAAATACTTGGGATCCCTGGGTGGCAGAGCGGTTTGGCGCCTGCCTTTGGCCCAGGGCGCGATCCTGGAGACCTGGGATCGAATCCCGCGTCGGGCTCCCGGTGCATGGAGCCTGCTTCTCCCTCTGCCTGTGTCTGCCTCTCTCTCTCTCTGTGACTATCATTAAATAAATAAATAAATAAATAAATAAATAAATAAATAAATAAATAAATAAATAAATAAATAAATAAAATACTTAAAAAGAAAAAAAGAAAGAAAAAATATTTAGAACTACTTGGTTATATAAATCTACTTGTTCAACTGTAAATTTTATGAAACCTACATGCCAATCAAGTATTCCCAATCAAAATCTGGCATCCAAATTGTATAAAATACATACCAGATTTTGAAGCCTTAATGTAAAAAACTAAAATAATTAAGAATTCCTTTCATTGATTATTGTTGAAATAACATTTCAATATATTGGTTTAAGTTAAATATATTAAGATTTTACATTTCCTTTTTACTTTTACAACATGGCTTCTAGAAAAATTTAAAATTACACGTCTCACTTGTGTTATTTTTCCACTGAAGAGGGCTAGTATAAACCCCTATTGATCATTGCAAGGATTTTTATTTTTATGGTTTGAGTTGGGAAGCCATTAGAGTTCTAGGAAAAAGGAGACATGAACTGACTTGTTTTAAAAATATCATTCTGGATACAATCTTAGAATAGACAAATGTGTGGAGGGGCTAGAGGAAAAATGTAGGGAGACTAGGTAGGAGGCTATTTCAATATCACAAATGCTGTCATTTCAGAGAGATGATGGTAACCTGGACTAGAACAAGTTTTCAAGGTAATAAAATGCACTCAGATTCCAGATAAATGTTGAAGTTGAATGACTGTCAAATTGGATATACTGTCCCAATACAACAGATGTGGGGTGTGAAACAAGAGAGGAGCCAAGGATAATACTTAAAGT